AGTTTCTCAGAGTATATAACCGACCGCCCAACCCAATAAATTCATATCTATGTTTGGCAAACCTCATGATGTGATTGATCTGGATAAGCTCCCTTACGGGTGTTTCCTTTCTGCAGAAAAGGGAATCACGAGCCTTTTTTCTTTTAAAAGGTTGTTTTCCTTTTAGAAAGTTGAAAGTATTTGACCCAAAGACCGGTGTCCGGTCAGCCCACTTTGCCTCAGAAGATGCTAACTACAGTTGCTGGTGTAATAGCGGGAGATCTGTGGATCAGGAGATCACTAAACCCTGGAATCCAATATTGCCCAACGTTGGGAAGAGCGTTTGTGATGTTCTCAAAATATCAAAAGTGGATTTGTTGCTAAGCAAGACAGTTGTTAAGAGAGCTTTGCCCCATTTCTTGCCACAGTTGTTAAGTGAAACACTACAATTGTTAAGTTAGTAACCCAGCTGTGAAGTAATAATAATAATAATAAAGTTTGAAGGGACCTTGGAGGTCATCTAGTCCAACCCCCTGCTCAGGCAGGAAACCCTATACCATTTCAGACAAATGGCTGTCCAGTCTCTTCTTAAAAACTTCCAGTGTTGGAGCATTCACCACTTCTGGAGGCAGGTTGTTCCACTGGTTAATTGTTCTCACTGTCAGGGAATTTCTCCTTAGTTCTAGGTTGCTTCTCTCCTTGGTTAGTTTCCATCCGTTGCTTCTTGTCCTGCCTTCAGGCGCTTTGGAGAATAGCTTGACTCCCTCTTCTTTGGGGCAGCCCCTGAGATATTGGAACACTGCTATCATGTCCCCCCTCCCCGTCCTTCTCTTCATTAAACTAGACATACCCAATTCCAGCAACCGTTCATTCTGGAACACTGCAACCGTCATAAATAGGAGCCAAGTGCTTGAATTTTGATTACATGACCACAGGGATGCCACAACAGCCCTAAGTGTGAAAAATAGTCCTAAGTCACTTTTTCAGTGCTGTTGTAACTTTGATCCCTAAAATGGTTATAAATCGAGGATTACATGTACACAGAATGTTGGGTTGAGAGTTGAATCGTGCTTGCATCAATTGCTGTGTATGCTTTGACACACCTCATACCTCAATCTCCCAGGAGAAAAATCTGAAAACTCAGGAAAAAAAACCCCCCACTCCTGTTCCATAACACAGAGGACGTGGGTTTTTTGAGGCTTCTTAACGAAAGCTGAACAGAGAACTGAACAAAGCTGTCTGCTGATTTGCTAGATTCCTAAGCCGCTTGTATAAACTACCACTTATTTTCTGAGCCTCACAGCTCCCCAGCCATCTGAGAGACGTGTGCAAAGTTTAAAAAATCAAGCCTCCCCTAATAATGTCTGCCACCTAGTAGTGTGATAAACCACAACAAAGTATCGCAGATTTGTGAGCAAGTTTAGCCCTTTTTTCCCCCCCTATAATGTTATATATATAACAAGGCAGGAAAAACACAGGGCATAAACAATTGTGCTCAAATTTGCCCTCTCCGATATTGCAAAATGGATCCCTGGCCAGGGACAGCAGGCACCGTGAGTAATAGCCTTGTGTTGGAACGATGACATCTAAAGAGCATTTGTGGGTTCCAGCCCTTGATGGGAAGGCACACATCCCTCTAGGGCAAATAACAACAGTAGTAAAGGAAACATTTATTCATTCATTCGTCAGATCATTTATTCACAACCTAATCCTCTGGGTTCAAGTCCAACCTAGGCACGGAAGTTTCCTGGTGACCTCAAGACAGACTTTCCCTGGAAATTAGAAGCTCTGGGGGACACCCACCCACGTGCTGTGCCAAGTTGCAAGCTGGTTTCACAATTCTGCAAGCGTGGAATTTCCCGTTTGCATTTTTAAAGCCCTTCTTGCATCTTATTCTTTAAGGAAAGTCAACAAGGAAGTTGGTGGCTTTACAAGAAATTGTCAAAGTCCAGCACTGAGGTAACTCTAGACAAATGTGGGGGAGGATCCCTTCAAGACCTAGCAAATGGAATGAGATGGGCCCTGAGGCCTCCATGTTATCTTGCTGGGCTAGATTTTTCAACAACTGCAACCGCAACAGCGACAGAGAAGCATCGCCTTGAACCCAACCCCATTATTTCTTTTCAGGGCCAGGATTCTTCTCAGAACTGCAGCAAAACAAAGCTAGGAAATCTCTTAGCTATTGAGGAACTTCAAATGTTGACCTTGCAAATGTAGCCAAGATTCTAGCATTTCCTTAGAGCAGTGTTTCCCAATTTTGACCACTTGAAAAGACATGAAGTTGGCATTAAAGTCCACACATCACCACTAAAGAATGTCGGGTTTTGCCAAGATTCTAGCATTTCTTTAGAACAGTGGTTCCTGAACTTGGCCTCTGAAACTTGTGTGAAGTTGGCATTAAAGTCCACACATCTCCACTAAAGAATGTCGGGTTTTGCCCAGATTCTAGCATTTCTTTAGAACAGTGGTTCCTGAACTTGGCCTCCTAAAGATGTGTGAAATTGACATTGAAGTTCACCCATTGTCAAGTGGCCGAGATTTGGAAGCACTGCCTTAGACACCCAAGACCAAACCGAGGCTCAACCTAGATCGAAGAGGATTTTAATTGCAGATTAAGGCTCTAAAAATGACTAAACCAAGCACTTAAATATAGACAAGAAGTGAAATACTAATCAACATAGGTCCAAATTATGTGGCTCATTTCCCAGCTGGAATAGTGTCATTCGGCAGGCTTCAAGTTCTCTATTCCTGTTACAGATGCCACCCAAAAAAAGGATGATGTGATTCAGACATGCCTCTCCCCCCCCCCCCCGGTGCCTCAGTTGGGGTTTTAGAAACCTCAATTACTAAAAGCTCTTATAAACACTTCTTCCTCCCCTGCTAAATAAATTTGCACGCTACAATATATATATATATTAAACTAGACATATATTCATTAAACTAGACATATATAAGGCATATATATATATATATATATATATGCCTTATATATGTCTAGTTTAATGAAAAGAAGGTCTAGAGGTGACATGATAGCAGTGTTCCAATATTTGAGGGGCTGCCACAAAGAAGGGGGGGGGTCAACCTATTCTCCAAAGCAGCTGAAGGCAGGATGAGAAGCAACTGATGGAAACTAATCAAGGAGAGAAGCAACCTGGAACTAAGGAGGAATTTCCTGACAGTGAGAACAATTAATCAGTGGAACGACTTGCCTCCAGAAATTGTGGATGCTCCAACACTGGAAGTTTTTTAAGCAGAGATTGCACAACCATTTGTCTGAAATGGTATAGGATTTCCTGCCTAAGCAGTGGGTTGGACTAGAAGAGCTCCAAAGTCCCTTCCAACTCTGTTATTCTTATTAAGGAACTTATTCTATCATTCTAAGCACTCTTCACTGGAATAAATAGGAATCTTGTGACCAAATAAATATGCAGCCGTGTGTATTTTACAGAAGCTTGACTATCAGGAGGGAAACATACTCGGAAATACCGAAGCGTTGCCTTTAAATGTTTAGATTAGAACACTGGCTATCTGCAAACACTGCTGAAATTGTGATTATTGCCAGCAGGACCGTCCCACCACCCTTACACAGAAGCAAACAGTACCTCAAACGACAAAGACCAAAATATGAAAATAAAGTGGGTAGAAAAAAAGCATTTTATTTCCTTGGAATTTCAAACACCTTAGAATCAGCTGGAGAGGAACCAACGCATAAAAGACATTTCAACAGACTTAACAGAAGCTTCTTTCTTCTTTTATTTGCTCAGGCAACATAATTTTTAATGAGAAAGAGCAAACTTGGCGTGCCAGGGCCTTGTTAGCGAAGGTTCTCCTTGGGGTTACCATATTAGCTGAGCAGGAACTCCAAATTAAATGTCTTCATCTGGACCACTTGCCTACATGCCACAAGGGGATATGGCTTTGTGTCTTTGTGGCATGTGTCTACATCCCACAAGGGGGCATGGCTTTACAAGGAAGTGGTTCTTGTTCTATCTAACAGTAAGGGGTAAAGGCATCCCTGTGGGTTACAAAACCAGGATGTTCAAGTACAATAGATGTATTTCCAGAGAACTGAGCATGGGAGTAACCAGGATACTCTTTCCACATACATACACAAATATACATCCATAAAGCAGTTAGGGCTAAAAGAAGTGTAGTAATGACATTGTTCAAGGAACTAGTGGTAACTAATAACCTATGACCTCCAGATTCTTCAGGAGATATGGAGGTAGGACAGAACTGCAGCAGGTTTCCAGCATCACTTACAAATATATGGGAAGGAAGGAAGGAAGGAAGGAAGGAAGGAAGGAAGGAAGGAAGGAAGGAAGGAAGGAAGGAAGGAAGGAAGGAAGGAAGGAAGGATTTCTTAGGATGGAATGGAGATTTGACAGTCCTACTTTCTATGCCGTTCTACCTCATTCACACGTTAGACGATCTTACAAGATTACAGTCAAACCACCCAACAGATATCTGTATGTACCCATGTCTACATGTAAACTGGTCTAGAACGTCATACTAACTCCTGCAGGAGCTTCTTAACTGATGCAAAGAGTGGGTTCAAAGTCTGCACTGGCTGAAAGAAGTGGATTGGAGCAATCATGTAGGACCATTGCTTCAAATTTTGATGGGTCCACACACATCCATGTTTACTAAATGCAAATGCTAAGTTGGAACCTTCCATCGTGATGTCTCACGTACGAAGTCCTGCCCTAAACCTGATGCCTTTCAGATGCAGAGAGGTGCGTTGTGCAGAAAATTGGACATGGAGACCTAACTTTACAGTTCTGCACTGGTTCCCATTACATATTTCACTTCTAGTGGCAGAGGTCATTTAATTCATCTGACTTCAAGGTCTACGTTTAGGTTCAAGAGAGTCAAGTTTCCAAACAATTTGCATAACATTTGTTTCCTTGACAAAGCTCTACATTACGTTTAAGGCTTTGATTGGCTTTGCTTACATTTTCTTCTCCATGGACTTAATCCTCCCTAACAGGAAAGCAGAATGGAATGCAATGCCTTTTTTTTTTTTTTAGGGATTCTGGTCATGAGGGTCACATTTTAGCATGATTTTTATCCCGATCCCTTTCTTGGTTGCCTCAAATGCTTCTGTTGCCTTTTCCAAAGGGAAACGGTGAGTCACCAGGGGCTGCACGTTTATTTTTTTCGATGCAAGCATCGCAATCGCCATGGGCCACCTGCAAAGAAAGCAGAAGGCAAAAGGGAATTAGAGACACCCAGATTTTTGAACGGCTGATAGTGGCAAGGATTTATATTGAGAGACAGATTTCCAAGACCTATCAAAGATCCGAGATGATTTCGCCTTCTAAAGACAAATATACCCAGAGTTTGAATGGTTGATTATGGCAAGGATTATTTTTAGAAAGATATTTCTAAGATGTCATGGTTCCGATAGAGGAAACTCTTCAAAAGAACTTTGAGGCATTGTTTACCTTAAAGAATCTTTATTCGAGAAGCATAATATCGGCACTTACATAGTTGAAGCCAAAAACTGAATTCCCCTCCCCTGGGCACATAGTATCAAAGCACAATTCCCTCCTCCAATTGACAGTCATAAATCACATTCCCCAATTAGTTTGAAGCACGGGCTTTCTCCCCAGCTCTCCAGCCTGCCAATTCTTTATTAGCTCTAAGCTCAGTAACCTTGATTCTCACGCTAAGTTCAGTGTTGTTATGTCTAGCTGAACTCTCATTCGCATCCCCCAGCATCCTCCCAGCATCATCTAACTCTAAAAGTGAAAGGGGAAAATGACTATATTTCCATCCGTTGTCAATGCAAAAACATACCCATTTCCAGCAACCGTTCATTATATGTTTTAGCCTCCAGTCCCCTAATCATCTTTGTTGCTCTTCTCTGTACTCTTTCTAGAGTCTTAACTTTTTTACATCGTGGTAACCAAAACTGGATGCAGTATTCCAAGTGTGGCCTTACCAAGGCATTGTAAAGTGGTATTCACGTGATCTTGATTCTATCCCTCTGTTAATGCAGTCCAGCACTATGTTGGCCTTTTTGGCAGCTGCAGCACACTGCTGGCTCATAGTTAAGTGATTGTCCACTAGGACTTCGAGGTCCCTCTCACAGTTACTACTATACCTGTACTATACCTGTACATTTGGTTTTTCTTCCCTAAATGTAGAACCTTACTTTTTTCACCATTGAATTTCATTTTGTTAGATAGCGCCCAGTGTTCAAGTCTGCCCAGATCCTCCTGTATCCTAAGCCTGTCTTCTGGAGTGTTGGCTATTCCTGCCAGCTTGGTGTTGTCTGCAAAGTTGATGAATTCCCCATCTATCCCCTCGTCCAAATCGTTGATGAAGATGTAGAAGAGCACTGGGCCTAGAACAAAGGGGCAGCCCACTACACACTTCCCTCCATGTAGATGCAATTCCATTGAGGACCACACGCTGAGTACGGCCGGTCAGCCAGCTACGAATCCATCTGGTAGTGTTGCTGTCTAACCCACATTTTTCTATCTTATCAAGTAGTAGATTGTGATCTACTTTATCAAATGCCTTACTGATGTTATGTTCAAACTATTAGATGTTTGTACAATAGCGCTCAGGTTAAGCACCAAATGTTCTGTACTGAAATTATCTACATTGTACAATGTTTTCTATACATTTCAAACCTGCCCACACCCTCTTGATAAAAGCAATGCAGAATGCGTACCGTATTTCTTTAGCTACACAATTTTTTTTGACGACAAAACAAAATAGCAGCTACACCACGTTGTTTGAAAACCTATTTTTCTTCCTTAGGGTGCACAACGGTGAACTTATCAGATTTCAACAGCTGTCTGGGATTGACATTTTGTTATATGTTATACGTTATACAACATTCCATGGTCCAAGATCAATAAAATATCATTTCCCCCCCCCCTCAGTATGAGGAAAACAAATCACTATTTGCTCCTCTAGAGTGACTCATGATGGATACTTACGTATTGCAGTATCTAAATATCCCACGGATGTCCACCTCACGCACCGCTGCATTCACAATGGGCAAGGTGACCATTTCTGGGCCCAGACCCACCAGAACCAGAGTCCCACCAGAACGGGTGGCCTGAAAAGAAACAAGGAGAACCATATCCATGTCCAACTTCTCCAGAAGTCAACATGCCAGGACTATCTTTCCCTCTACCATAACAGAATAACAGAATTGGAACCCTATACCATTTCAGACAAATGGTTATCCAGTCTCCTTAAAAGCTTCCAGTGTTAGACAAGGGAGGGAAAGAGGGAGGGAGGGAGGGAGGAAGGAAGGAAGGAAAACAGAATAACAGAGTTGGAAGGGACCTTGGAGGTCATCTAGTCCAACCCCCTGCTCTGGCAGGAAGCCCCATACCATTTCAGACAGGTGGCTATCCAGTCTCTTCTTAAAAACCCATTTTTTAAAGTTTACCATTCTCTCAACATGATCTAGAACAGTGGTTCTCAACCTTTTTAATGCCGCGATCCCAACCGGTCGTAAGTTGAGGACTAAACCGGTCATAAGTCGAGGACTAAACCGGTCGTAAGTCGAGGACTAAACTGGTCATAAGTCGAGGACTACCCAACCGGTCGTAAGTCAAGGACTTTCCCTGCCCGGGAGCGCCGCACATGCGTGGTTTCGCCCCTTGCGCCGGCCGAGGCGTAGCTGGCAAGCGGCAGAGACGGAGCAGGCTGACCACCAGCTGGCCCAGCCCAAGGGAGGTAAGGCACCCGCCGGAAAAGGAGAAAAAAATGGCGGACAAAAAAAATGGCGGACAAAAAAAATGGCAGACAGCCTTGCTTGGCGACCCCCGTGAAATGGTCGATCGACCCCAAATGGGGTCCCGACCCACAGGTTGAGAACCACTGATCTAGAATTTCTCTCAGTCTCTCCTCCTCAACTGCCCACAGCTGAGAGACTGACGATTACTCTTGATGTACCTTTAAGCTATGAAACACTCACATAGATTCCAGTCTGGATGCAGGATTCTGCCCCAGTGCACTCCAAGGTAATGTCAGGCATACAACCCAACAAGGTTTCCACCATACTGGCCAGCTCCTCAGGGTTCTGGCCCTTGACCTGGATGGTGAAATCAGCCCCAATTTCTGTAGCTTTCTCAAGTCGGGGAGCCGACAAATCTACAGGCAAAGAAAGCAAAAATTCATAGCAATAATAAACACAAAAGCACCACCAGGAGACAATAGGTTAATTTAATTGTTATCTGAGCAGAGTGATGTCTGGTCTACATAATGGACTATGTCAGTGGTGGCGAACCTATGGCACGGGTGCCAGAAGCGGCACTCGGAGCCCTCTCTATGGGCACGCACGCCATCGCCCCAGTCCTAGGCCTTCAGCTGGGTTTTATAAAACCTTTTCGCTTTAGGCCTCCGCCGCCGTGTGCAAAAAAAAAAACAGGTTCAATCAGTCAATTTCAACTTCTTGTGGGAAAAAAAAAGATCTTGCCAAGTTGGAATTGATTGATTGAACGTTTTAGTCCCACCCAGTTACCACTGCAGCCACGCCCACCCAATGGGCCACACCCAGCCAATGGGCCACACCCAGCCAATGGGCCACACTCAGGCAATGGGTCACACCCGCCCGGCACTCGACGATGCATAAGTGGGTTTTGGGTTGCAGTTTGGGCACTCGGTCTCTAAAAGGTTCGCCATCACTGGACTATGTCATACTGCATTTGGGGGAAGGGAGACAGCAGAGTTTCATACTCCCTCAACCGGGTCCTATCTCTGACTGTTTCTGCAATACACCACTTAAGGGACGTCTCATGAAGCCCTTGAGTCAACAGAACTTGATCTACATAAGCCACATAACAATCCAGGGAAAAGATCTTTGAATGACCCTTGTTAATTTAGCATGGTTTTTGGCAGCAGTTCCTTTGTTAGTCTTTAAGGCGCTGCAAATTCTTTGCTCTCTCAAGACATTTCATCATTTTGAAGAATAGACTCTATCCTGCTGATTAATCGTTCCTACCTTGGATACATCTGAGATTTGAACCAACGTCAGACGCCACTGTACTTCTTGCATTCAGACGCCACTGTACTTCTTGCATTCAGACGCCACTGTACTTCTTGCTATTCTATTTACACTCCTTTTCCTACAAACTCTAATGTGAGTAGCAATCAAGGTCATCGACAAATGGACTTTTATCCAGGGCTACACAACATTTTCAGAGCACCTGTTGTCCTGAGTCTGATTAACGAGGCTCCAGAAGTAAAACAAAGGTTAAACGCAGTTTCACTTATATTTAGATTGAATTAAAAGCAAGTCCCATATCTTGGCAGTCAACATTATTATTGTCCTCATTTGTTCAATTGCTATAGCCTTCTATCGTATTAAAAAATATGGTTTCGGTGCTATTTTTGATAATATCCTCAGGACCCAAAGTTTTGGGGAGGCAGGTTCAGCCAAAGCCTCAACCCTGCAGTAGTCCGTAAGCTAGGACAGCGATGGCGAACCTTTTAGAGGCCGAGTGCCCAAACTGCAACCCAAAACCCACTTATGCATCGTCGGGTGCCGGGTGGGTGTGGCCCATTGGCTGGATGTGGCCGATTGGGTGGTCGTGCCCATTGGATGGGCGTGGCTGTGGTGGTAAAGGCAGACTGGGTGGGACTAAAAAGTTCAATCAATCAATTCCAACTTTGCAAGATCCTTTTTTTCCCCACGAGAAGTTGAAATTGACTGATTGATTGAACCTCTCTTTTTTTGCACACGGCAGCGGAGGCCTAAAGTGAAAAGGTTTTATAAAACCCAGCTGAAGGCCTAGGACTGGGGTGACGATGCAGGTGCCCACAGAGAGGGCTCTGAGTGTCGCCTCTGGCACCCGTGCCATAGGTTCACCACCACTGAGCTAGGATAATTTGGATATGTACTATAGGAGAATTTTAGGGGTCATCTTTAAAGAGCCTAACCAAAAGCACTTTCCCAAGGTAACTGAAAATGTCAGCTCTGCCATGAAAACATTTAGGAGGCCAAGAAATGCTGAAGGTGGGAGAAGACCTTGGAAGGCTAGCAGAGTTCAGGAAAAGCAAAACAAATTAATTCCCCATGCTGGCTGGTGAATTCTGGGAGTTGAAGTCTACCCATCCCTAACTTGCCAAGGTTGGAAGCACTGCTGTCTCTTGTACAGCAGTACCAACATATTGTTTTCCCGCAATCATCTGGAAGTGAATTTATGATGGAGAATCCATGAAGTGCCTCCAAGAGAACTATATTCAGTGCCCAACTATATAATAGGCTCTAGCCAATCTCAGATGATCTCTAAACCCAGAGCAAGATCAGTATGGTTTATATTTGGATAAGAGGTCCATCAAGAAATCTCTGAGTGATGATTTTGATTGGGAAGCCAAAAGCACATCCCAGAAGATGAGAAGAAGAGTCTACAGATGTGTCTTTGGACTCACCAAGAGCCACACTAGGCTTACATTGAACAGTCATTCTTCACGATTGATGCAAAAGACACCACTAAAATTCAGAAGAAGAAAAAACTTGGTGCATGCTAGAGTTGCCTCGTGTCTTGAATAATTATTTCTTCCTTTGTCCCTTTTAACAGCTCAGTATTTACCCAGGCGACACTAGTCCTTTATGTCATGCAAACTTGGAAAGCTGAACTGCAAACACACGAAAAAATAAGACATCTAGATTGTAAATTGGTCTTACCGCTAATCACCACTTGCGTGGCTCCCATCGCCTTAGCAATGAGCAAAGTCACGAGCCCAATGGGTCCTAAGAAGACAGAGGGATGGGGAACATCAAAGTGAAGTCTGGTTATTTATTGCACAGAGTTTGATGGCCAACAGACACTTCTAAGGAACGTCTTTCTTTTTTA